CACTCAGGAAGACTCCTGTAAAGATTCAGGTAAGCATTGGTCTTCAGCAACCTCACTCACTCACTCGCTCACTCACTCAGGAAGACTCCTGTAAAGATTCAGGTAAGCATTGGTCTTCAGCAACCTCACTCACTCACTCACTCACTCACTCAGGAAGACTCCTGTAAAGATTCAGGTAAGCATTGTCTTCAGCAACCTCACTCACTCACTCGCTCACTCACTCAGGAAGACTCCTGTAAAGATTCAGGTAAGCATTGGTCTTCAGCAACCTCACTCACTCACTCACTCACTCACTCAGGAAGACTCCTGTAAAGATTCAAGTAAGCATTGGTCTTCAGCAACCTCACTCACTCACTCACTCACTCACTCACTCACTCAGGAAGACTCCTGTAAAGATTCAGGTAAGCATTGTCTTCAGCAACCTCACTCACTCACTCACTCACTCACTCACTCACTCAGGAAGACTCCTGTAAAGATTCAGGTAAGCATTGTCTTCAGCAACCTCACTCACTCACTCACTCACTCGCTCACTCACTCACTCACTCACTCAGGAAGACTCCTGTAAAGATTCAGGTAAGCATTGTCTTCAGCAACCTCACTCACTCACTCGCTCACTCACTCACTCACTCACTCACTCAGGAAGACTCCTGTAAAGATTCAGGTAAGCATTGTCTTCAGCAACCTCACTCACTCACTCGCTCACTCACTCACTCACTCACTCACTCACTCACTCACTCACTCACTCACTCACTCACTCAGGAAGACTCCTGTAAAGATTCAGGTAAGCATTGTCTTCAGCAACCTCACTCACTCACTCGCTCACTCACTCACTCACTCACTCACTCACTCACTCAGGAAGACTCCTGTAAAGATTCAGGTAAGCATTGTCTTCAGCAACCTCACTCACTCACTCAGGAAGACTCCTGTAAAGATTCAGGTAAGCATGGTCTTCAGCAATGCATACTTCTCGTACGAGGAGACTGAATCATTAGGTCAGGCTCATGGACTGTATATCATTGTGTCCTGTTTGCATAGATCGACGCTCATGATGTCAATCACTGGATAGTCTGGTCGAGACTCAAGTACTTACAGACTGCCATCATACAGCTGCAATATTGCTGAGTGTGGCACTAAACAAAAAACAAACAAACAATACACTCAGTGAGAGGGTTAACTGTAAGGCAGATGCAAGATCCATGCAGACACCAATCCAACACCACACATAAATGAAAGCTATGTTTATTCATTACAATGGTCAGATCTGAAGGCATAATTTAGGAGAGATATGTAAGACAATAAATATGATGAAAAATATGTCAATGATATTTTAAATCAGTCAATCTGGTAAATTTGTTTTCAGCAGTAAATAGACTTCCAGTTCCAAATACAGTTGTGCTAACTATAGACATCCGTCGCCTCACTTGCTCGTAATAAACTCTTCACATCAGTGCCGAGGCTGCCAATTGCTTGACAGAGTGAGTCTTGTACATATTCCTGGTGATGAAAACATAGCTTGTTTTTGTAATAGCAACATTATTATTTTAGAACAAGTATTCTAAAGAGGCTTCCATTCCAAAACAACATCACGAGGAAAACATATACATGGAGACTCCAAGCAAATATTTGAAAGAAGAAACATCAGTCAACTTTGAAATGGCCCTCTGAGTCAGGGGAGGGATCACATCTCATGACCACTGCTGACTTCTCATCAAGTCTCCACTGTAAAACACCCTCCCAAGGTTAGCTGGGAGGAACAAAACTCCCTGTCCCAACAGTTCAATGAGATGTTTTTTCGTTGAAAATGTTTCTTTTGTGTTAACACATACAATTATTATAGTCTACAAATAACGCATCTGGTTAGAAAAAAATAAATTTACATTACATAAATTCAGAGGTCATCATTAAGCAATCGTAGAATTATGTCTGTGATAACTCCTATAGAATAACATAGGCATTTGATAGAAAGAGCACTAAGATGACTTAGGAATTATCAGAGTCATACTTCTAAGATATACCGCAGAAACATTACTTAACAGAAAACATGGCATGTGAAAAATCAGCACTGCTGGAAGCACTCATAAAATCTCCAACTCTCTTTCTGCAGTGGCCCATGTTATACCCTGGTGTTGTGGTCACTGTCATTGTGATTGATATCATTGCGGATTGTCTTAGTGGATTATTTGAGGTATTGTGTTGCAAGAGTCATCACCTCATGGACTGTGGCTATGCCTAGACCTATACACACTACGTTTATACAGGCAAGGTATAAATACACCTGGGGAAAAAATAGGTATCACCCATCACCTCATTAACCTTTGGATAATTGTCTCAGATCATGGAGCTGAAAAGGACACTGTTTATCATCCCAAACTGGCCTCTACAGGGTACATCCCTTGGTGAGTGTGAGTGAGTTAAAATTCAACGTCACATCGGCAATATTTCAGCCATATAGACATCCCTTGGATGAGATCAAGTGATCTCTCCTAAGAGATATCAGTACAATAGAATTGCATCAAAATGCTCTGTAGACCATTGTGATGTCATCAGTTACCAAGACGCCACAATCAAATTACATCACTAATCTCAGTATGACTGAAGCAGGTTTGCTGTACTTTTTGCAAACTGCTTATTACTAGTTACAAAATGAAAAAGTTGGACAAATTATTTTGGATTGCAAAAAAAGAATCTCACCCAGTATCCTTTGATATCAAATATATCAAAACTCGTCAACAAAAGTTTAAAACTCCTCAGCAAGCCTCAGAGTCTTAAACTTGTCTTGACTCGTGTTGACATATTTGACATCCAAAGACACTTGGAGGAGATTCTCTCTATGTTTCTCTATGTGGTCACAAGTACTGAGTCACACCATACATACAAACCTAGAGAGGAAACGTGTAGTCAAGTACCGGCAGGTAAAGTCACTGAACAGATAAGACCCATCAGATAATCTTTGTTTTTTATTTGTTTGTTTGTTGTTTAACGCCACACTCAGCAATATTCCAGCTATATTGCCAGTCTGTAAATAATCGAGTCTGCACCAGACAATCCAGTGATTGACATCATGATCATCGATCCACACAATTGGGATACGATGACATAATGAAACAAGTCAGCGAGCCTGACCACCCGTTCCCATTAGTCGCCTATTACGACAAGCATTGTTGCCTTTTATGGCAAGAATGGGTTGCTGAAGACCTATTCTACCCTGGATCTTCACGGATCCCATCAGATAATCAGTTCAGTTTCTGTATGTCAATACGAAGATGTCACTCATAAACAAAACCAACATGTGTATTGTCAAAAAAATGAAACTATGATACAATTTGTAAAAATATTTTGTATGTAAATATATAGTTAGCTCCGCTAAACATTTCCCAGGTGTATACAACTCATAGCTAGACCTACATCTATACACTCTACCTATTTACAGAAAACATACATACTTCTCAAAACGTAGGGAAGAAAGTTTACACCATGTTCAAGTAATACATATTGATCTTTGGCCCTCATAAGGAGTTACTTGTTGATATAGGATCTCTCTTGGGTTACCCAGAAGTTGTAATCTTCCTTGTCATAGTCATGTCTATAAATATATATGATGAGTCAATATACCACTGTACATTGCAACATATAAGAACCAATATAATAATTGAATACAGCTAAGGCCAGGCGTTTTATATTTTTCGGATTACGGACCCGCCGACTCTAATTTTTGAGAAAATGTAAAAAAAAAAAATCAGCCGCGTAGTCAGTTGTAAACTAGTAAAGAGATACATAATCGATCTTTGTTGATCTTGAAGCCGAACATGAATAGCCTCCCTTGACAATTGTCCGTGTTGTAAGTGGTAGAATTTTTTTTGTTACAAGGGGCTTAAACATCACAAATGGCGGTCTTTTGAGCACAGAATATGTTCATCAAGTATGCCAGAGGCATTCTGCATTAAAAAAAATGCATCTGGCTTTCTTTTTTTTCCCTCCTCCAACCCAGGACTTTGGGCTGGAATCCGTAATCCTAAAAATAAATAAAGCCTGGCCAAATGCAACCAACAAAAAGAAACAAGTGTGAAGTCAAGATAATAAAACAAGGGAGACAAACGCAATGAGACATACGTAAAGTTGACTAGAAAGAGCAAAACCAAACAATCTCATTAACCTCCTATCTTTTACTCTGATATGATATCTCTCTTCATGAAGACCTCAATAGGAGATTGTGTCAGGTAAACTTTCCAGTCAGGTAATCACCAACGTTGTATCTGAGCGCCATAGCATCTACACCCAAACAGAAATACCATCACAGGAATAATTATGTGGGTTTTCATTTGCGCCAATCACAATTTCCAAATCAAGGTGGTAAAGTGATAAATCAATTCAGAAAGCTGACATCTGATTGGCTCAAGAACCCATGCATCCTTCATTTAGATTGGACAGTCAAAGTTAGCTCGGGGTCCACCTGACCTCTTGTGAGACCTTCATGCAGACGGGAACTGTATCGTAGTAAAGATCAGATCTTAATGAGATTGTAAACCAAAATACCCAAAACCAACAAGGGACAAACTAAATGTACATGCTATCGAAAATAGTTACTGTAAACTTCATATCTGTCACATGTAAAATGATACGATATTGTAAATTTTAACATCAACATTGCAACTGATGACATTAGCATGGAAGCTGAGGCCATTTAAAGTTCTGAAAAATGTTCCTCATCAGTAATCCGTTTTAAACAGTTTAAGGAATAATTTTCTTTCAAGTGAACAATCATTTCAGGTCCTGTCAATAAAAAAATGTTTAAGATTAGTTGTGATTGTCTGGATTTGAACATAGGAGTTATCTTTCCTTGAAATGATTGTTCACAAGTTGGTTTGAATGATTTTCCTGTTCACCAGCCGGATGACAAGAAAGAGGAACCATAAAAAAGCCTGGTGACCTTGTCATTTTGAAAATAACCTTCTGATGAGAAACAATTTTTAAGGACTTAAATGACACTTTTTTTATTCAAACCTGAGACAATTCAAAATAGGTCAGTATCAGTGTTCATGGTCTTTGATGAAGGACATGTAAACACCTGTACATATGAAATACTGAAATCTGTGGCACTGGCTGCGTACTGTGACACAATAACTGGCAAGATGTGTCGGGAAATGCACTATATACAGGTCAAGAGCATTACTTGTTCATAAAATATAAACATTGGCACATGTGTTATACTGGAATTCAAAAATAAAACAAAAATAACAACATTCTTTTTTCTTTATGATTGATAACAAATGCTGCATACGTAGATTGAAAAACACAATGAATAAATTAATGAGTGTTTTAATCAATACTTGCTAAGAAATGCAGTTTGTGAATACAGGAAACATGACAACATAATGGCTATAGCACCTTGTATGACTCCATGACCTATGACTAGAGTTAAACAGATATACAGCAATACCCCGGGTACATACGGTTGACTAGGGTTGACAGACTTCCTTTGGAAAGGTTATTCAAAAATGTCAATCGTTAATACAAGAGCAAAAATGAAATATGCTACTCAAAAGAAGTTAAAGAACACTTGATTCTTTCATCCTTAAGTTAATGTTTCATGGAAATATATATGAATAAAGTGGGTGATCTTTAACTTCTTTTGAGTAGTATATCATCCCTTAGCATTATTGACTTGAAGAATGAATACTGGTGCCTCATCGTGCCTGCCTGGCAGTAGAGTGAGTGAGTGAGTGAATGAATGGTATATGCAGGGGTCCGGAAACGGTCATATGCGCCGGACATGTCCAATTAGGAATCTCAAATGTCCGATTTAAAATATTGCTTACCAGACTTAAATGTGCCCTGACCTCCTGAATACTCAGTTACAGTTGCTTCAGTAACAATCCCACATAAAGCCTTTCCCCAGACTGACGACATGTATATTGAGTTGTACCAAGGTTCTCATAGTTGAACACCAGCCCACCTGCTCTCCACTGATCAACAGCAGACCCTGTGCACGAAGCCTTGACGATGAAACCTCCCTAAATGATAATCCTGTCTTCATGAAATCAATCATGCCATGGGAACAGGATAAATATGACAAATAATCAACAGATATGTGGATATTCATAAAGTTTTGAGAAAACACAATAGTTCCGTGATCAGTTTAACAGATATGGGAGGAATCTGCATGATGAGAAGAATGTCCCTGATAGACGAGGCGGAATGCTCTCTGCATCTGTGCAGCAAATAGAACATGTGGTTTCAATTAACAGGATTACTTGATCAATTAGTTAATAGTACACATACTGACAAGTTAATTTATACAGTCAAATGCATAACACCTATGATCGACAATTTCCTAAGAGTAACAATACACTTAAGGAATCTACATTATGTGCCATGTTTGAAAAGAATACAACAAAATGCTGTTTGACGGAAAGACAAGATGCTTAGAACCTGCTGTCATGTTTGACTTGGGAAGGATCACATGGTAGTAATTAGACTCTGTGCCCAGCCACCAATCTATTCGCAACCCCTCTCAGTCCATCATCAGCAGATATGGTCCCTCGTATGCTAGTCTTGCTGACTTGAATTTAGTCACAATGGATTTTGTCATTTTTCTTCAAATTTAACTTTGCACTTTGAATAATACATAATGAAAAAGATAAAACAACTTAATTGAAAATACTTATGAAAATACTTATGAAAATACTTATGAAGATACTTCATTTCTTGTCTAGCCATGACAAAAGGCAACTACACGCAACCTTACTTGTCAAACAGGACTACACTCTTTGGACGGGACTGTGTGTAGATTAACCAAACATCTCTTGGAGCACACAGGTGCATGAGATTTTTTTGTGTTTACTGGTCACGTTTCCATGGCAACCAGCAGTCTGCCTGTTACCTAGCAGCATGGTCTCCCTTTGATATAACTCTTTAAGGGGAAAGAAATAAACACGATGTCTTGGAGACCAGCCATAGCATGCTTGACTTGTTTAAATAAAGACTCCTTTTAAGAAGAAATTCAAATAAATTGGTGTGCAGCATGTTTTATAGATTTCTGAATGTCTTTGAAGTTGCTTCTGAGATGAAGCTGTCAATAGACAACATGGTTTATTTGCTGAAAGTATGTCTGTGTTGTCTGTATATACGATTACAGACTATATATAACCTGTCCTGGGGAATGCAAATACTGCTAAACTTTGTTCCTAACCAAAGTGAATAACCTGTTTATAAACACAGCACTGAACAGGCCGTATGGTGTGTAAGTCCTTAAACACAGAGTCAGTGTCCAATCAGCCAGGAGAGCCTGGTCTGTATATTCCACATAGTTCCACCCCTGGGATAAGAGCAGAGAAAACCTGTTTGTACAGAACATTCACCTCCTTTAGTCCCTCATACAGACAGACCCTGAAACAAGCCTATCCTAAAACTTTAAAGCAAGTCTCGATACTTTGGCAAGTCTAGAATTCTTCAGTTCCTGCAATTGAAGAGATCCTTTGGGCTCCTTCTCATTATATACTAAAATACAATTTAAAAAAGAATAATCTTACAATAGTTTTCTTTCAGAGAGTTAATGTAAGTCTAAGAGAATAGTGAGTGAGTGAGTGAGTTGGGTTTAACGCTGCTTGTAGCAACATACCGGGGGTACCAGGAGAATCACAACAGGGGACACCAGCTATGGGCACCATACTTTGTACCCATGTTGGGAATAGAACCCAGCCATTCTGCAGGACGAACGAACCCTTTAACCAATAGGCTACCCCACTGCACCCAAAGAGAATAGACTCAGGACAATCCTAGCTAGATTCAAGTTCCTCAAACACATCATGCTCTGCCTGTTAACTCCTATTTAACAACCCATATAATCTCCAGCAGATGACCCTAATTACTCAAAGGCACGCTTCTGTTTCACACAGGTACTTATTACATCACCAGACCACAGAGTGCTTGAGTGAGTGAGTTTGGTTTCACGCCGCTTTTAGCACTATTCCAGCAATATCACGGCAGGGGACACCAAAAATGGACTTCACACATTGCACCCGGGAATCGAACCTGGCTCCTCGGTGTGACAAGCGAACACTTTAACCATTTGGCCACTTGGCTACCCGACTGCCCAACCAGACCATAGAGCATCGTCTTGCTTTAAACAATAACAGAAAGAAAGGGATACACAATAAAGATAATCATAAATATAAATCCTGGCAAGCGAACCCTGTTTTAGAAGTCCTGTCCTACTATATTAAACAATCAGTCATTTTCAATACATTCATCCCAGGGTTACTGAGTGGAACTAAATGGAACATGTCGTCTTGGATTAGAAGTTGCCCAATACATGTACATTGTCATACAGATTCTGTCCAGCTGAAGCAAAACACCTTGTCCATGGTTATAATACTTGTTTCTTTTTGGAATTTTCAAAACCTTTATGAATATCCATCTCGTCCTTGAAAGCAAGGAGCCCTAACTGTGAGTGAGAGGCTTCATTTAAAGCCTTGGAACGTATGCAACTTTTGTACTGTTCAGAGCTGAGGTTGGGATCACACACTTTCTCGTGCCACAGGTGGAAGATGCCTGGGTCGGTCGCCCTGATCACCATGTAGTCACTCCTCACATACTTCTGATAGAGAAACACATCCTCCCCGCCCCAACCAGTTATTTGCTCATCAAAACCTTTGATTTTCAAGAAGTCTGACCGGAACTGGCAAGTCATTCCGTATCCAAAATCACGCCAGAATCCTGTGTCTTTAGATATGATGAGTTGGTCCTTCAGGGATGGAATCTGCATGTCTTGTAGTGCATAGACGACATTTGGATTATATAGACTAAACACTATAGGATAATATACCCGTTTTCCACGCTCTGCATTGAGTCGGCATCTCTCAAGAAATTCATTATTAAATACAATGTCCACATCACAAAGAAATAATAAGGCATCTCCACTCTTCCAGTTCAAGGCACCAATCTGCAGGCCGCGGCCTCGCGCAAACTTCTCATTCAATGTTACAAGTTTCAAATGTTTGAATTTGTAAGCTTTAGCAATTTGAGACATAATATTCTTCACTTCCACAAGTCCCTCCTTCCCAAAATACACCACAGTCAAATACACCCTCTTATCCTGCTTAATACACGTGGTGATGAACCGGTCCATGAACAGCCGGAAGGTCTCCACTCTGCCCGAGAGAGGCAGGATGAGGTTGACCCACTCCTGGCTGGTGGACACAGTGGTGTTCCTGATCAGCATCGGAGGCCCAAACGGCCTCATCATCACCAGCTTGACATAGGAGTAGGGGCTGCTAGCATCCTTATTTCTGAAGTACAACTCAAAGTGCGACCCCGAGGTCGGCTCAGTCCTGAAAACACCTTCCAAGAAATCTTCAAATGTATACGGCTTGGCCTTTTCAGATCTATTCACATTCAGCTGATCCACTCCAAATGCAACCATTTCAAACAGATCTCGCTTCTTATACCCAATGGGCTTCTCTATGACCCGTTTCCCCAAGCCAGGTTCATGCATGTACACCCTGTTGAGAGTAAACCGATCAAATGCAACAATATCGTACTCAGTCTTCAAGGCAACTCCTTGATGAATTTCCGCAGATTTCACCTTCTCCTGGAAGTACCTGATGAAGTCTTCGGTCTTGTTCTGTATCACAATGGTCTTCCCTTCAAGGATTTCCTTGGATGTCAACTCGGCCACAGTTGGACGTGCTGCTGCTGCTTGCGTCAGGTTATGGACTCGTTCCTTGGCTGACTTCAGTTCATGCTCCAGGCTGCCGATACGATCCCGGAGGATGGTTACTTCTCGATTGTGTCGGACTTCTCTGTCCTTCAGCATATCTCGCACCATGCGACTCTCGGCGGTGTGGTCCCGGATGTTGGGCATGCCTTGGGTGGCTTGCTGGAAGTGGCTGTCCAAACCAAACTTGGCTACAAACATCATGGTCATGACCGACAAGCTGAATAGCAGGAAGAGTATGCGTGGCATCGTGTGCAGCGGCGGTGATCAGCGACTCCCTCAATCACCCTCCTCCCTGCTCTCTCCCCATTATCACCTGGTTGCAATCAACTCATCTGAAACACAGAGACACAACCGTCAGGACAAGATACATCTCATTGAAATATGTTCATTATTATTCATAAAGTTGGTGAGCGAGCAAACATTGTCTTATCATGCCACAATGTTCGAGTTTATTCGCAGCAAGTCTCTATAAAGTAAAAAGGATTTTCTAGCACTGACTTACTCATTCTCTCACTCATAGTTATCAGGTTTACCAATATTCCAGGCATGGTAGATTATCACAAAGAACAGTAGACCCTGTGGTACACTAAGTTTAGTTTTCACTTAAAAGGTTTGATATCCAATGTTTTTTATGATGTAACCAGAATCTGTAACAGGAAAGTCATTTGAAAACATGATGCTATACACTGAAGTATCCCGAAATAAAGTTACCACATTAATCCAAATTATGTTAATTAAACTGAAACTAGGCTTATGATAACGAGCTTCACTCTGAATTAATTAGAGTTGAACATGACCTTCACCCTGACAATGTTATGTGGCCTTCACCCTGACTGAATGTAACATGACCTTCACCCTTACTGAATCTAACATGACCTTCACCCTGACTGAATGTAACATGACCTTCACCCTGACTGAATGTAACATGACCTTCACCCTGACTAAATGTTATGTGGCCTTCACCCTGACTGAATGTAACATGACCTTCACCCTTACTGAATCTAACATGACCTTCACCCTGACTGAATGTAACATGACCTTCACCCTGACTAAATGTAATGTGGCCTTCACCCTGACTGAATCTAACATGAACTTCACCCTGACTGAATATAACATGACCTTCACCCTGACTGAATATAACATGACCTTCACCCTGACTGAATGTAACATGACCTTCACCCTGACTGAATCTAACATGACCTTCACCCTGACTGAATCTAACATGACCTTCACCCTGACTGAATGTAACATGACCTTCACCCTGACTAAATGTTATGTGGCCTTCACCCTGACTGAATGTAACATGACCTTCACCCTGACTGAATCTAACATGACCTTCACCCTGACTGAATGTAACATGACCTTCACCTTGACTAAATGTAATGTGGCCTTCACCCTGACTGAATATAACATGACCTTCACCCTGACTGAATCTAACATGACCTTCACCCTGACTGAATATAACATGACCTTCACCCTGACTGAATATAACATGACCTTCACCCTGACTGAATATAACATGACCTTCACCTTGACTGAATATAACATGACCTTCACCCTGACTGAATCTAACATGACCTTCACCCTGACTGAATCTAACATGACCTTCACCCTGACTGATGTAACATGACCTTCACCCTGACTGAATCTGCTGGGGCACACAAACCACAGATACGCACAACATGTCCCCAGTTCAGTTCGTAAGAATCACCTAAATTAATGACAAGCATGGTGCACTGGAAGCTCTCCTGACCCAGAAACTCCTGTCAGTATTTTGATCATGAGTAGGATAGACTATGGGTTGAAACATAAACAAATTACCCTGCTTGTGGCAACACATGTAACTGATTGTAGCGGTGATATGTGGGGGTGCTGAGAGCTTTATAACATATTTAGTTCGTTGCTAATGCTTGTGTCACATGTAAGAACATTTAGACACAGACAGCTGCTAGAATCTTCATGTGAAGCTCATGGTTTCCGAATCACACTTATTGTCAAATTAGGTAAGTACATAAGTATAGCAGTATGGCGCCATCCTTCAACAGAGGCCTCTTATCTTCATTGAACACCTATCAGGTAGTCAGGACGACAAAATAAACACAAACTTTTCAAGCAAAACAGAAAGTTTGGTTTTAGTACAATCAATCTAATGATAACAAGTTTCTAATTCATACAACATTCAAATGAACGGTTGTTGACTAAACCATGTGTTGCTATGCCAAGGATATCTGTTTTAAGTTCACCGACTTGCTGTGCATACTAAAATTGAAAATTACATTCTCTAGAAGCTTTCGGTAGAACTTTTCATCAGATATTCTCTTTGACTAAATAAAAGTACAATAAATAAGCAAAATATACCATCAGAAATCTTATTTAAGGGAGCTTTCAAATACTTGGCTCCTAACGCAAGCGCCAAAACCCTTGTCATGTTCATAAGAATCTGCTAAAAGCAGAGCCGATAGTATGATTTTGACTTTATCTTGACCATGAGTTAAAAAAAAATTCATATTCACCATCAAGCCCAGGAGATATGCCTTCATATTTACCTGCTTTTTTGCATTTCCATTATGACATAAAACTAAAAACAGGCACAGGTCCATGATTGTACTTTAATGCTGGTGTCGAAGACTCAACATCTTGTCTCAAATCCACCATTCAACTTTATTAAAATTATATTTGTGAAAATAAGACAGTCAGCCATTTTCACCTTCAACCCACAGGGCCTCATACAGCATAAGCCACATTCAGTGGCAGATTAACTCACATGCCTAAAATCCCAATCATAGCTAGAAACATGAGCCAGGTAATCCTCCGATGAATACATCGCAACAGAAATGCTACATTTCAGTGCCTACTCTCAGATATTTACTAGGATGTAAATGTTTATCATGCCTAATCTATGATAGTGTTCTTCAAACAGAGGATAAACTACCATGGGCCATGCTGTTATGACACCACAAATAACTGATCTATATTTGTTTCATTTTCCTGCTGTGCACAAATAATGACAAGAAAGCAGACAAAGGTCAGACAAGGTTTAATGTATAATGTACTTTCCTACTAGAAAAGTAAATATAAAGCATGTGTATCACCTTATCAAATTGATATTCACATGTATGAATCGTTAGTTTGTTCTGTCATTAGGATATCAGGATATTATACACTACCCTGTTTTTCAGTGTGAGTGAGTGAGGAGTCAACAGCTATGATATTGATAAAAGGGTTCAAAATCCCTACGTTGGATCCTCTCCGTGGTATAGGGGTTGAGTGAGTGAGTGAGTGAGTGAGTGAGTGAGTGAGTGAGTGGGATGGAGCAAGGTGTAATGTTCTAGTGAGTGAGTGAGTGAGTGAGTGAGTGTGTACCAGTGTTGCAGGTAACTAGTGACAGAGATGTTTCACTGAAACATATCAATGCCATGTCAGTATTGTTCTGACCTAAATAACAATGTACCAATGTACTGTGTGAAGTCACATCATCACCCATTGCGTTTTAATACATGAAATAGTCAGTCAGTTGGGTTTAACATCACTTTGCAAAGTATTACTGTCATATCTCAGTGTGTCAGCTTGATGTGGGAGGAAAGCCCCAAGTGATGCAGATCTCAGACATTTACCACTCTGGCGAAACCCACAACATGGTGCTGACAACCCTAGAAACATGGAGAACCAGGATTCAAAGCTACAATCATTGGTTCCTGGCATGCCTAAGGGATGCAACTGTGCATAGCGAATAGCATATCAATGTATGCTAGTTCTGTTTAAAGTGAGTGAACATACTATAATTTTGTTTTTATCCAAAATCATTTTTTGATTGTGAAATGTTTATTCTATTTCAAGGTACCAACCGTTATTCAACGTGCCATTCAATCATTCAAGCCAACAATCTGTTATTCTACCATGAACTTGGAAAATACTCGATTTTGATTGGTCAGTTAGAGGTATCAAATCACAATAAATCCCCTCTGCTTGAAACAGCTTATTTGACATTCGCATCACCACAGAAGCTAATATTTTTAGAATAGTTCTTCTTTTACAGTCATTGGTGGTAGGCATATTTAAATAATGTACAACTATAGGCAACAAAATGCAAAGTTGCGGTTACTACAATATTCAAAGCTATGTGTGGCAATACAATTCATGCAGAAAACATGATACAGATATATCTACAAGAATGTATTTAAACTTTTGAGGACAACAGACAGCTTGCTAATTGAAACTTTTCTATATACAACTGTCACGTCATATTTTTTGCTTGACAATGAGCAATATGATATAATAGTGACATGAGGTGTTTCTTTAGGGGTGCCCACATCATGCTTGTTTACGAAGTTGCCGTGCTACATGCTTTCAGTGCCTGTCATAGGTTCCAGTGAAGTAATATGCTGTAAACAAACTGCTTGAGCATATAGAGGGCCATATTTTGTTTAAAGGCTGTTGTCAGCGATTCTGTAAATTCTGATTGACAACCCACTCAAAACACTGGACTCAACCCATGCCGCTTCACTTAATATATTAATATTTGATACCTCACGCTGAGATTTCCGTTCCAATTTCAATTGAGCATAGTTAAATCAGCAGGTAACCTACCCCTACACTGAAAACACAGGATGTTTATCTCTTAATTAAACACAATAATAAAGTCAAAATGTCAAATAGGACCCTTTGAAAACTATAGTGAGTGAGTGAAATTTTACGCTGCTTTTAGCAATATTCCAGCATTATCACATTGGGGGACACCAGGAATGGGCTTCACACACTGTACCCATATCAGGAATCCAAACCCGGGTCTTTGTCATGACGAGCGAACGCTTTAACCACTAGGCTACCCGACCGCCCCCTGAAAACTACATCACATCCACATGTATATATAACTTATGACACGATACTTATTCATACTGAATGAAGAGTACAGCATTTTGTATCATAGACAATAATATTGCGGGGCCCAAGTGCAACAGTGAATCATTCCAGTCTAAGAGACATGCAGAGTTGATCACTACCAACAACCAGGTTTCAATGTCCTTTTCTAATGCATGTCATTGTATCACTATACCATGGATTGATGCTCATGATATCACTCACTGGACTGTCTGGTCCAGACTTGATTATTTACAGTTCGCCGCATATAGTTGGAATATTGCTGTGGGCGGCGTTAAACAACAAACAAACAAATAGTAACCTCACATGCATAGAAGAAACCCTGATTTTGGCACAATTCTACAGTCCTGACATCTCCTAAATCCCCCTGTAACAAGCTGACTCCTGACAGATCCAGGGACAGGCAACACGCACCAAGGAGAATGCAAGCCAAGATAGCAATTACCATGCAAGATTGATGGGTTTTTCCCTGCAATACACACAGCTCAGTGGGGCCCTCAGCGAATGACATAATAATGTACTCACCATCATCCTATGATTATCACATTTTCTATTCTGCATTGGCTAGCTTGGAAAACCACACAGTTATTCTCAAGTCACGGCGAATTTTCTTACTTATGTTTTTACCAAAGATTACATGGTGACACAACTATCAAAATACTCTTTTTTAAATCTGAGTACAAGGTAATGAAGATTTAGTGCTGTTTCATCTCATTATCAACTGATTCCTGATCTCGACCGGGCTCCACATGCAGCAGACTGATGAAACGTTCGCTCAGCTTTCAACATGTTCAAAATGAAGATCTTGTACATATTGCATAGCACAGAGTAAAACTGACCTCGACCTACAGTTTCAAAGAACATAATCATTCTGATTAAGGATTCTGTGAAGGATATAAACCAGATGGAGCCTACCTGTTGCAGGGTTAGTGGGAGACTTGAAACTGTTTTCCTCAAGACTACTCACAATCAATTTAACCACTAACCTTACTTTGTGCGGCAATCTCAACATTTGAATGTTTGACGCCAACATTCGGCTCAAGTCGGCCTTTTTAACAGGAAGCCCCAGCCTGCAGGCTCCAGGCATCACAATGAGCAATCACACATGCGGCAACAATAAGCGACAAAATTGTTCACACATTTGCCATTAAATTTAAATGGAGTATAGAACGATATCAAACGTACAATGGAGTATTTTGTCAATCTTGCAAAATTTATGAAAACCCACCAACCTGCAAATCATCAACCCATCCTAATGCAAGCTGCAATTCATGACGTTCCAACATGCATGCGCTGATGAAGAGAAGATGCAGAACAGGACGTTCTAACATGCTGCTGAGAAAACCTAAAGTCAGGCAAGGTTGGAAATGGATCTGACCAAACATTGTTCACAGGTCAATATTCCCCAAAGTGAGATTATCGGAGACACCTGAGCTCAATCTCTACCCGACGTTGTTGGGCCATTCACCAACTACTCAAACAATCGTTCTTTGAAGTTCGCTATGGAAGCAGACGGACATAGATGCATATGCGATTGCAATGTCGGACAAGCACACACAGATAAATCCATGTCCTGGATGAAGGAGCGGACACTAGGCCGGCAACACAATAAGGCTGTAATCAAGTGCCTCCCTCCACACACACACAGCTCTCCTCTTCCCCGATCAAGTGGCAGGAAACGCCCCAAGGTCCAGTCAGATAGGCTGCACACCAGGAACACAGTCTGTGATTCATCCAGTCTCTCACCCTCACCACAGTCTCTCTGGTCACAGCAGTCATGTGTCTTGTTCTCTCAAATATGGTTTTCATGGTTCATACAAAATTGAACCAACAAATTAAAAGCCTTTTCAAGGTCTCTGAAGTCAATGAACACACTTTTCAAGGCTAACTTTAAAACCCATGAGTGCTTTACCCAGTGATAAAATTAACATTTTTAGTCCACTAGTCCTTATAATGATAAGAAAAAGAAAACCCTTAAAAATGGCAAATTCCTTATGATATTTTACTCTTGGGCAGTTTGGCAAGGACTACAAGACTGGTGCCAATTTCTTGTTTGTTTGTTTATTTGTTTGTTATTTAACACTGCACTCAGCAATATTCCAGCTTTATGACAGGCGGTCTGTAAATAATTGAGTCTGGACTAGACAATCCAGTGATTGTTATCATGAGCATCAATCCTGCAATAGAGATACGATGACATGCATCAAGCAAGTCAGCGAGCCTGACCACCCACTCTCATTAGTCACATCTTATGACAAGCACCCTATTCTAACGCTGCTTTACCATATATACAAATTTATTAGAGAGTGAGTGAGTGAATTGGGTTTAATGTCGCTTTGAACAGTATCCGTCATATCACCATCCATATCCAGTTACTACTCTATTGAAAGTCCACACCTGTAGTGTTTATGCATTAATTATTCATCAGTTGAGTGACTGACATCTTTTGCAGCATAATGACATCATGCACTATTAGAGGAAGCAACGTCTATGTGAGTGAGTGAGTGAGTTGGGTTTAACGCCGCTTTTAACAGTATTCCAGTTATATCACGGCGTGTCAGCTTAATGTGGGAGGAAAGCCCGAAGTGATACAGGTCTCAGACGTTTACCACTTCGGTGAAACCCACGAGCACGGGTATGGTGCTGACAAACCTAGAAACATAATCGGAGCGAACCGGGATTCGAACCCACAATCATAGGTTTCTGGCGTGTCCAAGAAATGCAACCCTGCACAGCGAATCGCGGCGCCTAAGACGACTGGGCCACTCGTGCCCCCCAGCCTCTATGTATTTAACACTGTGATACAGGACAGCCCAATCCAAGACCATTTCCAGCTTGTGTGAAGCTTGCTGATGGATCTACTAACCCAACATTTCACAAATATGTGGAATAAAAATAAAAAATATATTTTTCTCTCTTCTATAATTCTTCCAAAACTGAAATTTGCTGTAACAAGTTTGTTGTTCTACAGCAGTCAGCAATATTCCGGCTATATCACAACAGTCTGCTGATAGTATGCAAGACATACCAGTGGTTGATATTATGAGGAACATCCCACACCTTTAGGACATGATGCCATGCCATCAATCTAGGATTGATCCTCTTGAGGCACGTCTTATGACAAGCAATAGAGTTGTAGTACAATAATAACTGGTGATAGTCATGAACACACAATGCCATTTAGAAAGTGGTCAAATGTAACAAATGTTATATTTGGGGAACACTGAGTAAAGAACAGATCCTAGTACTGTTTTAGGTTGAGTCCCATCTGGGAGTCAAACCATAGTTAATTAGGTAGGAACACTAATTATGTTATATATGGTATGTCAGTTTTTTTCTGACAGAGTAAGTGAGTGAGTGAATATGGTTTTACGCCGTTTTTAGCAATATTCCAGCAATATCACGGCGGGGGACACCAGAAATGGGCTTCACACATTGTACCCATTTCGGGAATCGAACCCGGGTCTTCGGCGTGACAAGCGAACTCTTTACCCACTAGGCTACCTGACCGCCCCCTCTGACAGAGTGAGTGAGTGAATGGGGTTGCAGGCAATACATTAAGCTGTGCACACCATAAGCCTGTAAGAACAACCCATACACTTGTGCTGTGATTGTGAACAGCACCGAGCACTGTACACGACACAGACACAGACAGTCCCCCGTTACACATCCCACTGGACCCAGACACACAACAGAAATTAGCCAGAAATTAGCCCGAAACAAGCAACCAAAACACTGCACAGTCACATCTGAATAAACATAAAACATTTCCACAATCAAAAGACACCTGTGTAAGTCCTTTGTATCATTCCAACTATATCATGAGCATACATTTATAAATCACTATAAATCAAACCATGATGACACCAGGTGGTCGCAAAAAGGTTGGCATATCCTGCCCCACCATGCCTACTGTATGGACAAATGCATCAAATAAACAAGAGTCATCAGGAGATGACGTATCCACCCCAGCCTCGTACAACTGGAAAATAGAGTTTGGCTACTATACCCCACTTCTGGTTCATTGTCACTGGATGCCTTCAGTTCAGCGAAGAAAAAAATAATGTTCAGTATTTTCCAAAATTCCATATCATCAAAAGACACCAGTTCACCACTAGACTGATCTGTATAGCAAGTTCCGTCCAAAAGTATTCAACAGTTTTGGAGTTCGGCGTCGGAAACAAGCACCACCCTCATTTTCAGTAAAGTCCAACTTATCGTCATGAAAACATGAAAAAATAAAGAAAACAAAATCCCAAATCATTAAAATGCACCAATTCACCACTAGACCTATCTGTATAGGAATTTTCAACAAGAAATATTTAACGGGTTTAGTAATAAAAAACAATTTGTTTTCATAATGAGAAATCATGAAAACAAAACAAACAAAAACAGAATACAAATTCCAAATGATCAAAGGGCACCAGTTCCCACTAGACTGATACACATAGAAAGTTTCAACAAGAAATATTTAACGATTTTGGCATTCTGCTCCGGAAACAGAAAACGGATGGCTGACAAACGGACAGACGGACATGCTGATCGCAATATCCCCCCATTTTTCAAACCAGGGGAATAACAATTGGGTCTGAAAATCTTGTTCAAATTATATTACTTTCTTTTTAACTTTCCTTAAATGTTTTCATGTTTTTGTACACACCAGGGTAGACAGAAATTCTTCACTACATTTAGAATCTTTTATTGAAGTTGCCAATATTTTTTTCCCACATTATGTCCAGTACTAATTTCAGCATTTTTCAAGCCAGTCTTTCTTTTAAACTAATGTTTGTTGTAGAACAACAACACTAAGCTGTGTCATCCATTACAAGAACCTTAGTCTATCTAATTATTTATAACAAGGGTGCTGCAGTCATCATAACTGAAAACAGTTCAGATTAACCATGTCTTTGTAAACAAAGGTCAAGAGCACTGATCTCTACCTGATGTGAAAGCGTGTGGTCTGACTGTTTAATAGAACCCTCCACACATCTTCCCCACTCCTGAACCCAGTAACATTTTTACAGGAAGTGATGTGTATAAAAACGTCCCCTGGTTGTAGCTGATCAGTAAAACACAGCTTTAGATGTATATCGGAGATTCAGTCAGACAAGTAGCTCCGCGAACCTTTGATGATGCCATCGGTGTCCGAAACCAGAACCGTCTTCATCTGATCCACACCTGTCAAAGGCTTATGACATTAGAGTTATCTCCCTTTATGCCTCTCAAGTTTCAAAAGCTATCAAATAATCAATTAATGTCCAATAAAGTTTATTTTCATAACCTCCAGAATAAAGTAATGATGATAACATATGTGTCTGTCAAGGAAACATGACACATCGGGATCAGAAATCTACCAACCTATGACGCCATGTGCTGCAGCTCATTCTTTACGGCAACATTTGTGCACGAGTCAAGTACAGTATACACCTCCAGGAAGTTCATAGCAGTCACTGACAGTATTTCTGGGTTAAAACAACAAATTATCACATGATATATTTCCAATGTTTTACAAGCTCCAGACAGGAGTCCACCAGGAGCCAATTAACACAGGGAACAGAGGCTCCCTGAAGGCCGGGGAGAGCTGTCTTATTCTCTGAAATTTTCTGGTGGACTAAGTGTACTGCATGTCACTGCACTATAGTCGATCGTATCTGTAATCATTCTGGGCAGTTCCTCTCATGTTCCTCTCGGGGCAGCTTAGTGTTTTATAAGTGATTAAAATATCTAAATATCTACAAATTAACATGCATCAAATCTCCTGTATTCTAGCTCACCAGAACATGACCACCCTAACCTGCTACAAATGTCCTGTAATCCATCTCACCAGAACACCCACTCTAACCTGCTACAAATGTCCTGTAATCCATCTCACCAGAACACCCCACCGTAACCTACAACAAATGTCCTGTATTCCATCTCACCAGAACACCCACCTAACCTGCTACAAATGTCCTGTAATCCATCTCACCAGAACACCCGACCCTAACCTGCAACAAATGTCCTGTAATCCATCTCACCAGAACATGACCACCCTAACCTGCTACAAATGTCCTGTAATCCATCTCACCAGAACACCCACCTAACCTGCTACAAATGTCCTGTAATCCACCTCACCAGAACATGACCACCCTAACCTGCTACAAATGTCCTGTAATCCATCTCACCAGAACACCCACCTAACCTGCTACAAATGTCCTGTAATCCATCTCACCAGAACACCCACCTAACCTGCTACAAATGTCCTGTAATCCATCTCACCAGATCACCCCACCCTAACCTGCAACAAATGTCCTGTAATCCATCTCACCAGAACATGACCACCCTAACCTGCTACAAATGTCCTGTAATCCATCTCACCAGAACACCCCACCCTAACCTGCAACAAATGTCCTGTAATCCATCGCAACCAGAACATGACCACCCTAACCTGCTACAAATGTCCTGTAATCCATCTCACCAGAACACCCCACCCTAACCTGCTACAAATGTCCTGTAATCCATCTCACCAGAACACCCCACCCTAACCTGCTACAAATGTCCTGTAATCCATCTCACCAGAACATGACCACCCTAACCTGCTACAAATGTCCTGTAATCCATCTCACCAGAACACCCACCTAACCTGCTACAAATGTCCTGTAATCCACCTCACCAGAACATGACCACCCTAACCTGCTACAAATGTCCTGTAATCCATCTCACCAGAACACCCACCTAACCTGCTACAAATGTCCTGTAATCCATCTCACCAGAACACCCACCTAACCTGCTACAAATGTCCTGTAATCCATCTCACCAGATCACCCCACCCTAACCTGCAACAAATGTCCTGTAATCCATCTCACCAGAACATGACCACCCTAACCTGCTACAAATGTCCTGTAATCCATCTCACCAGAACACCCCACCCTAACCTGCAACAAATGTCCTGTAATCCATCGCAACCAGAACATGACCACCCTAACCTGCTACAAATGTCCTGTAATCCATCTCACCAGAACACCCCACCCTAACCTGCTACAAATGTCCTGTAATCCATCTCACCAGAACACCCCACCCTAACCTGCTACAAATGTCCTGTAATCCATCTCACCAGAACATGACCACCCTAACCTGCTACAAATGTCCTGTAATCCATCTCACCAGAACACCCACCTAACCTGCTACAAATGTCCTGTAATCCACCTCACCAGAACATGACCACCCTAACCTGCTACAAATGTCCTGTAATCCATCTCACCAGAACACCCACCTAACCTGCTACAAATGTCCTGTAATCCATCTCACCAAAACACCCACCTAACCTGCTACAAATGTCCTGTAATCCATCTCACCAGATCACCCCACCCTAACCTGCAACAAATGTCCTGTAATCCATCTCACCAGAACATGACCACCCTAACCTGCTACAAATGCCCTGTAATCCATCTCACCAGAACACCCCACCAAAACCTGCTACAAATGTCCTGTAATCCATCTCACCAGAACACCCCACCCTAACCTGCTACAAATGTCCTGTAATCCATCTCACCAGAACACCCTACCCTAACCTGCTACAAATGTCCTGTAATCCATCTCACCAGAACACCCCACCGTAACCTGCTACAAATGTCCTGTAATCCATCTCACCAGACACCCTACTCTAACCTGCTACAAATGTCCTCCAATCCATCTCACCAGAACACCCCACCCTAACCTGCTACAAATGTCCTGTAATCCATCTCACCAGAACACCCCACCCTAACCTGCTACAAATGTCCTGTAGTCCATCTCACCAGAACACCCTACTCTAACCTGCTACAAATGTCCTGTAATCCATCTCACCAGAACACCCCACCCTAACCTGCTACAAATGTCCTGTAATCCATCTCACCAGAACACCCAACCCTAACCTGCTACAAATGTCTGTAATCCATCTCACCAGAACACCCCACCTAACCTGCTACAAATGTCCTGTAATCCATCTCACCAGAACACCCCACCCAAACCTGCTACAAATGTCCCGTAATCCATCTCACCAGAACACCCCACCCTAACCTGACACAAATGTCCTGTAATCAATCTCACCAGAACACCCAACCTAACCTGCTACAAATGTCCTGTAATCCATCTCACCATAACACCCTACTCTAACCTGCTACAAATGTCCTGGTGCTGTATGATGCAACTCATCGCCTCCACACCTGCACCAGAAGGTTACCATAACCTACATTGAAGAACATGGACAATCAGTACCATATCATATGAGTCTTCACACCGGACCAGATGCTTCATTTCATATAAAGATCAGCCACCATGTTGAAAAATGTGCTCTCCCCTCCTTCACAACACACCTTGTAGCTGATCAGCATGAATAGAAAGGTGAATTGCCTGATCATGAGGTTATCATATCTCCCGTCTGGGGTATGCTATGCATTATATGCAACACGAGTGCTTCTGGAAAGGTCTTCAGTAAGTATGGAGAGATAGGCCACATTGTGTTAGCTCCTGTGGGTACAATATGGAAGGTAAACGTGAACAAACAAACACCTCCATCAACACCGAGGCAATGTGAGTGTGATCCGTTGGCTTCGTGGGCAACATGCAACTCATCTCCTGGTGTTTGTTGTCTAGCTGGTTTCATCTTCCAACACAACAACACGTTCCTGCCACCTAGACCAGACTACAACACGTTCCTGCCACCTAGACCAGACTACCACACACTCCTGCCACCTAGACCAGACCACAACACACTCCTGCCACCTAGACCAGACTACAACACGTTCCTGCCACCTAGACCAGACCCCAACACACTCCTGCCACCTAGACCAGACTACAACACACTCCTGCCACCTAGACCAGACCACAACACACTCCTGCCACCTAGACCAGACTACAACAAACTCCTGCCACCTAGACCAGACTACAACATGTTCCTGCCACCTAGACCAGACTACAACACGTTCCTGCCACCTAGACCAGACTACAACATGTTCCTGCCACCTAGACCAGACCACAACACACTCCTGCCACATAGACCAGACTACAACACACTCCTGCCACCTAGACCAGACTACAACATGTTCCTGCCACCTAGACCAGACTACAACACACTCCTGCCACCTAGACCAGACTACAACATGTTCCTGCCACCTAGACCAGACTACAACATGTTCCTGCCACCTAGACCAGACTACAACATGTTCCTGCCACCTAGACCAGATCACAACACACTCCTGCCACCTAGACCAGACTACAACAAACTCCTGCCACCTAGACCAGACTACAACATGTTCCTGCCACCTAGACCAGACTACAACACGTTCCTGCCACATAGACCAGACTATCACACGTTCCTGCCACCAAGACCAGACTACAACACGTTCCTGCCACCAAGACCAGACTACAACACACTCCTGCCAACTAGACCAGACTACAACACGTTCCTGCCACCAAGACCAGACTACAACAAACTCCTGCCACCTAGACCAGACTACAACACACTCATGCCACCAAGACCAGACTACAACACACTCCTGCCATGTAGACCAGACTACAACATGTTCCTGCCACCTAGACCAGACTACAACATGTTCCTGCCACCTAGACCAGACTACAACACATTCCTGCCACCTAGACCAGACTACAACATGTTCCTGCCACCTAGACCAGACTAGAAGACACACACTCTACTACAACACACTCCTGCCACCTAGACCAGACTACAACATGTTCCTGCCACCTAGACCAGACTACAACACGTTCCTGCCACCTAGACCAGACTACAACACACTCCTGTCACCTAGACCAGACTACGACACACTCCTGCCACCTAGACCAGACTACAACATGTTCCTGCCACCTAGACCAGACTAGAAGACACACACTCTACTACAACACACTCCTGCCACCTAGACCAGACTACAACATGTTCCTGCCACCTAGACCAGACTACAACATGTTCCTGCCACCTAGACCAGACTACAACACACTCCTGCCACCTAGACCAGACTACAACATGTTCCTGCCACCTAGACCAGACTACAACACACTCCTGCCACCTAGACCAGACTACAACACACTCCTGCCACCTAGACCAGACTACAACACACTCCTGCCACCTAGACCAGACTACAACACACTCCTGCCACCAAGACCAGACTACAACAAACTCCTGCCACCTAGACCAGACTACAACACACTCATGCCACCAAGACCAGACTACAACACACTCCTGCCACCAAGACCAGACTACAACACACTCCTGCCACCTAGACCAGACTACAACAAACTCCTGCAACCTAGACCAGACCACAACACACTCCTGCCACGTAGACCAGACTACAACATGTTCCTGCCACCTAGACCAGACTACAACACGTTCCTGCCACCTAGACCAGACTACAAGACACACTCCTGCCACATAGACCAGAATACAACATGTTCCTGCCACCTAGACCAGACTAGAAGACACACACTCTACTACAACACACTCCTGCCACCTAGACCAGACTACAACATGTTCCTGCCACCTAGACCAGACTACAACACGTTCCTGCCACCTAGACCAGACTACAACACACTCCTGCCACCTAGACCAGACTACGACACACTCCTGCCACCTAGACCAGACTACAACATGTTCCTGCCACCTAGACCAGACTAGAAGACATACACTCTACTACAACACACTCCTGCCACCTAGACCAGACTACAACACGTTCCTGCCACCTAGACCAGACTACAAGACACACACTCTACTACAACACACTCCTGCCACCTAGACCAGACTACAACACGTTCCTGCCACCTAGACCAGACTACAACACACACACTCTACTACAACACACTCCTGCCACCTAGACCAGACTACAACATGTTCCTGCCACCTAGACCAGACTACAACACGTTCCTGCCACCTAGACCAGACTACAAGACACACACTCTACTACAACACACTCCTGCCACCTAGACCAGACCACAACACACTCCTGCCACCTAGACCAGACTACAACATGTTCCTGCCACCTAGACCAGACTACAACATGTTCCTGCCACCTAGACCAGACTACAACACATTCCTGCCACCTAGACCAGACTACAACATGTTCCTGCCACCTAGACCAGACTACAACATGTTCCTGCCACCTAGACCAGACTACAACACGTTCCTGCCACCTAGACCTGACTACAAGACACACACTCTACTACAACACGTTCCTGCCTTATGCACCAGACAACAAAACACACAACACGCAAACGACTGAACCACTGATAAACAACAAAATACTTTGATGATAGGTACAATTTGTGTTTCAACACCAAACTGTGGCTGATTTCTTTGAAATATTTATTCAAATAGTCCTCCATGTATTCCTATGCGGAGCATGGTTGGTATTTATAGTGTGAGTCAATATCTAGATGTTTATGTGTATACAACATGTTATGAAAACATAAAGGAGCCATGCTGGTTATTGTCTATTATTCTTTACCTACATGACAGCAGACAGCGCGGCTGTTTTGTTTGTATAGCATTGCATGTGCTTTATCGCAACAAGCTTGTCTTATAGAGGGAGAACAGAAATATTTACCAGGTTTTATCAGGGACCATTTGTTCGTGATTGTGTGGCTTTCTCAGCCTCTACTGTTAAAGGTTTAAGAATTGAAAAATAGTGCCACGGCATTGTAGCTCACCTGGATATGTAGATAATAATTTAAAATGTTAACACAGCCACTTAACAAATGTTGCTGTCAATGTTGATATTTAAATATTTTCTGCATAAATATTGACAAAAACCTTACCATGCTTACACTTACACTCCAACATTAAAATCATTATTAAAAAAACGGAACATAACGGCCATAAATGGAACCTCTTCAACATGGTCACCCATCATCTTAATGTCACAACCACGAAAAGTTCCAGCTTCATTGGTCCAGTAGTTTCCGAGATTATGTTTTTAGTGGAAGAATATGCATTTTGAGAATAATTATACATAAAATATCATGAAAAACAGTTCACTTGTTGAGCCTCAATACTAACTACAGATACACCATAGGTCATCATATTTTGAAAGAAAGGACTAATGGCCATAAGAAGTTTCAACTTTCAGTACGGTCAAAGTGCAAAGGTCAAATCAAGGTCAAAATTTAAGATACTGCAAAAATATAAACACAGGAGCCCCACTACCAACAAACAAATGTACCAAAGTTATAAATAGCTTCTTAGGCATAAATAGCTTCTACTTTTGTTTATGGCAAGACCTGATTCTGTTCTAAAACCACAGCTTATTACAACTGTGTAAGACGCCGAAACCAAAGCTTTTTACAACTGTGTCTGACGCCGAAACCACAGCTTATTACAACTGTGTCTGATGCCAAACCACAGCTTATTACAACTGTGTCTGATGCCAAAACCACAGCTTATTACAACTGTGTCTGACGTCGAAACCACAGCTTATTACAACTGTGTCTGACGTCGAAACCACAGCTTATTACAACTGTGTCTGATGCTGAAACCACAGCTTATTACAACTGTGTCTGATGCCGAAACCACAGCTTATTACAACTGTGTCTGACCCTGAAACTGCAGCTTATTACAACTGTGTCTGCACGGACATAGTTGAGAAAAGAAGCTGCACAGAACCTTCATTCCATTCATTCAGTCAATTCTAATTGTAAACCGATCCAGCATTTTGTATCCACAAAACCCTCCTGTTCAAGCAGATACTGACAAAAGAATTAACAAATACATACTGAAAAAACTGAAAGTTCTATCTACTATCATTTCACCACTCAATCATTTCCGTTTTTAAGACCTGGTCTGATATTTCTGCATGACGCCATATAAACTTTGTTTATACTTTCATAACAACACTGGCAAAAACGACTAGGGTTTAGCTTGAGAAAATAGGAGAAAAAACACAAGGGCAACAAGTATGTCTGGAGATGACCTGAACTTTGTACATGATTGACTGAAAGCTCTCCTGTCTTCTCAGGCAATATCTTATTGGTTAAAGACCTGAACAAATGACTTAACGAGAGGCCTTCACACAAAAGCAGGGCCAACACCGCAGGGAGCATGTTGGGTGGCCTAATCTCCCCATACAGTTATTTAGAGAGGGTTCAACAGCTTTTTGCTGGAAGAAATTCAAGGAGGTTCTCTTATATTTTTTAGATGAAAAATTAAGCATGATGCTGCCTGATTTCTTCTGCCATGTGAAGAATGGAGGCACGTTATGGCTCATAAACTAAGTGTCTGCCGCCATGCTGTAGGTTGTCAGTGGCGACCGTGGCGGGGCATGTTTGGCTGAGTGATGAGAGGTGTCAGATCTAATACCAGCCAACTAATCTGATCAGCGTACATGCATCCAAGTGGAGTCTGTACTTCAGAAAAGGTCTATTGTAAGAAACGGGTGTAAATTCCATGAATCTGCAGTGAGTGAGTGAGTGAGTTTGTCAGGCTGCGCCGCTTGTCAGTTTGAAGTGATGAATGTCTTAGATTTATGTTATGGTGAATTCCACAATGGTATGGTGCTCCTGTTCTTTAGCAATGTCAGTCCTCCCCTATCCCTTCCTTCAGCAATATCAGTCCTCCCCCTCCTTCAGCAATATCAGTCCTCCCCTACCCCTCCTTCAGCAATATCAGTCCTCCCCTACCCCTTCTTCAGCAATATCGGTCCTTCTCTACCCCTCCTTCAGCAATATCTGTCCTTCCCTACCCCTCCTTCAGCAATATCAGTCCTCCCCTATCCCTTCCTTCAGCAATATCAGTCCTCCCCTATCCCTTCCTTCAGCAATATCAGTCTTTCCCTCCCCCCTCCGTCAGCAATATCAGTCCTCCCATCCCCCTCCTTCAGCAATATCAGACCTTAACTCCCCCCTCATTCAGCAATATCAGTCCTCCCCTACCCCTTCCTTCAGCAATATCAGTCCTCCCCCTCCTTCAGCAATATCAGTCCTCCCCTACCCCTCCTTCAGCAATATCAGTCCTCCCCTCCCCCCTCCTGAGTCCTGGCCAAATGGCAGATTGTCACCATTGTCAAAGCTTCACGATCACCTGAGTCCTGGCCAGATGGCAGATTGTCACCATTGTCCTAGCTTCACGATCACCTGAGTCCTGGCCAGATGGCAGATTGTCACCATTGTCCTAGCTTCACAATCACCTGAGTCCTGGCCAGATGGCAGATTGTCACCATTGTCCAAGCTTCACAATCACCTGAGTCCTGGCCAAATGGCAGATTGTCACCATTGTCCTAGCTTCACGATCACCTGCCCTGCACCATTTAGTCTGTGCAAAGTCTTGTGAAGAATATAGAATGGTTTTGATGATCCACTTGAATATATTTTGAAACTACTTCACAACCGTCTCACATCCCCACTATGTCGACAAGTGAATAAAGTGCTGCTTCAGACACAATATTCATGTACAGTTCAAAGTCCATGCAACGACTTCCACGAAAATTTCAAAAAAATATATATAATTGTAAATTCCCCAAAGAACCACGTACCAGTTACATGGTGGAGGTGCACAGTTCCATATTCCTACAATATTCAACCTTTTTTACATTCCTAGCGTACCGCTCATCTGACATATGTGTTACGGCAGGGTTATTCTCAAATTGTTTCTAAAACATATGTTTGTTTGTCAAAATATCTTGTGTGGCATATATCACTTGACTGAATAAATCATAAACAGGCCATTGCCTAACCACGATTAACAAGGCCTTTTGATTAAGTTCACAACATCAACTTTCCTGGTCCCTATGTGCCGTGGCAGTTGTGACATGGAAGAATTATATGAAAGGAAGAGCAAAAACAAATTTCCTCAAAACATTTTTTTTCCACATGTCAAAAACATCCAGCAATTTTCATCCCATCACCCTCTCTCCCACCCCCTCTCCCTCTCTCCCACCCCCTCTCCCTCTCTTCCACACCCATCACCCTCTCTCCCACCCCCTCTCCCTCTCTTCCACCCCCTCTCCCCCTCTCATCTCCTTCTCTCCCACACCCATCACCCTCTCTCCCACCCCCTCTCCCTCTCTCCCACCCCCTCTCCCTCTCTCCCACCCCCTCTCCCTCTCTCATCTCCTTCTCTCCCTCTCTCCCACCCCTCTCCCTCTCTCCCACCCCCTCTCCCTCTCTTCCACCCCCTCTCCCTCTCTCATCTCCTTCTCTTCCACACCCATCACCCTCTCTCCCACCCCCTCTCCCTCTCTTCCACCCCCTCTCCCTCTCTCATCTCCTTCTCTTCCACACCCATCACCCTCTCTCCCACCCCTTCTCCCTCTCATCTCACTCTCTTCCACACCCATCACCCTCTCCCTCTCTTCCACACCCATCACCCTCTCTCCCACCCCCTCTCCCTCTCTTCCACCCCCTCTCCCTCTCTCATCTCCTTCTCTTCCACACCCATCACCCTCTCTCCCACCCCCTCTCCCTCTCTTCCACCCCCTCTCCCTCTCTCATCTCCTTCTCTTCCACACCCATCACCCTCTCTCCCACCCCTTCTCCCTCTCATCTCACTCTCTTCCACACCCATCACCCTCTCCCTCTCTTCCACACCCATCACCCTCTCTCCCACCCCCTCTCCCTCTCTCATCTCCCTCTCTCCCTCTCTCCCACCCCCACTCCCTCTCTCATCTCCTTCTCTCCCACTCCCATCACCCTCTCTCATCACCCTCTCTCCCACCCCCTCTCCCTCTCTCATCTCCCTCTCTCCCTCTCTCCCACCCCCTCTCCCTCTCATCTCACTCTCTTCCACACCCATCACCCTCTCCCTCTCTTCCACACCCATCACCCTCTCTCCCACCCCCTCTCCCTCTCTTCCACCCCCTCTCCCTCTCTCATCTCCTTCTCTTCCACACCCATCACCCTCTCTCCCACCCCTTCTCCCTCTCATCTCACTCTCTTCCACACCCATCACCCTCTCCCTCTCTTCCACACCCATCACCCTCTCTCCCACCCCCTCTCCCTCTCTTCCACCCCCTCTCCCTCTCTCATCTCCTTCTCTTCCACACCCATCACCCTCTCTCCCACCCCTTCTCCCTCTCATCTCACTCTCTTCCACACCCATCACCCTCTCCCTCTCTTCCACACCCATCACCCTCTCTCCCACCCCCTCTCCCTCTCTCATCTCCCTCTCTCCCTCTCTCCCACCCCCTCTCCCTCTCTCCCACCCCCTCTCCCTCTCTCATCTCACTCTCTCCCATTCCCATCACCCTCTCTTCCACCCCATCACCCTCTCTTCCACACCCATCACCCTCTCTTCCACACCCATCACCCTCTCTCCCACCCCCTCTCCCTCTCTTCCACCCCCTCTCCCTCTCTCATCTCCTTCTCTCCCACACCCATCACCCTCTCTCCCACCCCCTCTCCCTCTCTCATCTCCTTCTCTCCCACACCCATCACCCTCTCTCCCACCCCCTCTCCCTCTCTTCCACCCCCTCTCCCTCTCTCATCTCCTTCTCTTCCACACCCATCACCCTCTCTCCCACCCCCTCTCCCTCTCTTCCACCCCCTCTCCCTCTCTCATCTCCTTCTCTTCCACACCCATCACCCTCTCTCCCACCCCCTCTCCCTCTCTCCCACCCCCTCTCCCTCTCTCATCTCCTTCTCTTCCACTCCCATCACCCTCTCTCCCACCCCATCACCCTCTCTTCCACCCCCTCTCCCTCTCTTCCACACCCATCACCCTCTCCCTCTCTTCCACACCCATCACCCTCTCTTCCACCCCCTCTCCCTCTCTCCCACCCCCTCTCCCTCTCTCCCACCCCCTCTCCCTCTCTCATCTCCTTCTCTTCCACTCCCATCACCCTCTCTCCCACCCCATCACCCTCTCTTCCACCCCCTCTCCCTCTCTTCCACACCCATCACCCTCTCCCTCTCTCCCACCCCATCACCCTCTCTTCCACCCCCTCTCCCTCTCTCATCTCACTCTCTCCCACTCCCATCACCCTCTCTTCCACCCCCTCTCCCTCTCTTCCACACCCATCACCCTCTCCCTCTCTTCCACACCCATCACCCTCTCCCTCTCTTCCACACCCATCACCCTCTCTCCCACCCCCTCTCCCTCTCTCATCTCCTTCTCTCCCACACCCATCACCCTCTCTCCCACCCCCTCTCCCTCTCTCCCACCCCCTCTCCCTCTCTCATCTCCTTCTCTCCCACACCCATCACCCTCTCTCCCACCCCCTCTCCCTCTCTCATCTCCCTCTCTTCCACACCCATCACCCTCTCTCCCACCCCCTCTCCCTCTCTTCCACCCCCTCTCCCTCTCTCATCTCCTTCTCTCCCACACCTATCACCCTCTCTCCCACCCCCTCTCCCTCTCTCATCTCCTTCTCTTCCACACCCATCACCCTCTCTCCCACCCCCTCTCCCTCTCTCATCTCCCTCTCTTCCACACCCATCACCCTCTCTCCCACCCCCTCTCCCTCTCTTCCACCCCCTCTCCCTCTCTCATCTCCTTCTCTTCCACACCCATCACCCTCTCTTCCACCCCCTCTCCCTCTCTCCCACCCCCTCTCCCTCTCTCATCTCCTTCTCTTCCACTCCCATCACCCTCTCTCCCACCCCATCACCCTCTCTTCCACCCCCTCTCCCTCTCTCATCTCCTTCTCTCCCACTCCCATCACCCTCTCTCCCACCCCCTCTCCCTCTCATCTCCCTCTCTCATCTCCCTCTCTCCCACTCCCATCACCCTCTCTCCCACCCCCTCTCCCACTCCCATCACCCTCTCTTCCACCCCCTCTCCCTCTCTCCCACCCCCTCTCCCTCTCTCATCTCCTTCTCTTCCACTCCCATCACCCTCTCTCCCACCCCATCACCCTCTCCTCCACCCCCTCTCCCTCTCTCATCTCCTTCTCTCCCACTCCCATCACCCTCTCTCCCACCCCCTCTCCCTCTCATCTCCCTCTCTCATCTCCTTCTCTCCCACACCCATCACCCTCTCTCCCACCCCCTCTCCCTCTCATCTCCCTCTCTCATCTCCCTCTCTCCCACTCCCATCACCCTCTCTTCCACCCCCTCTCCCTCTCTCATCTCCTTCTCTCCCACACCCATCACCCTCTCTCCCACCCCCTCTCCCTCTCTCATCTCCTTCTCTTCCACTCCCATCACCCTCTCTCCCACCCCATCACCCTCTCTTCCACCCCCTCTCCCTCTCTCATCTCCTTCTCTCCCACTCCCATCACCCTCTCTCCCACCCCCTCTCCCTCTCATCTCCCTCTCACCTCCCTCTCTCCCTCTCATCTCCCTCTCTCCCACCCCCTCTCCCACTCCCATCACCCTCTCTCCCACCCCCTCTCCCTCTCATCTCCCTCTCTCATCTCCTTCTCTCCCACACCCATCACCCTCTCTCCCACCCCCTCTCCCTCTCATCTCCCTCTCTCATCTCCCTCTCTCCCACTCCCATCACCCTCTCTTCCACCCCCTCTCCCTCTCTCATCTCCTTCTCTCCCACACCCATCACCCTCTCTCCCACCCCCTCTCCCTCTCTCATCTCCTTCTCTTCCACTCCCATCACCCTCTCTCCCACCCCATCACCCTCTCTTCCACCCCCTCTCCCTCTCTCATCTCACTCTCTCCCACTCCCATCACCCTCTCTTCCACCCCCTCTCCCTCTCTCATCTCCTTCTCTCCCACTCCCATCACCCTCTCTCCCACCCCCTCTCCCTCTCATCTCCCTCTCTCATCTCCTTCTCTCCCACTCCCATCTCCCTCTCATCTCCCTCTCTCATCTCCTTCTCTCCCACCCCCATCACCCTCTCTCCCACCCCCTCTCCCTCTCATCTCCCTCTCTCCCACTCCCATCACCCTCTCTCCCACCCCCTCTCTCATCTCCTTCTCTCCCACACCCATCACCCTCTCTCCCACCCCCTCTCCCCCTCTCATCTCCTTCTCTCCCACTCCCATCACCCTCTCTTCCACCCCCTCTCCCTCTCTTCCACACCCATCACCCTCTCTCCCACCCCCTCTCCCTCCCCCTCTCCAATCACCTTCTCTCCCATCCCCTCTCCCCCACTCCATCACCCTCTTTCCCACCCCTCTTTCCCACCCCTCTCTCTCTCACCCCTCTCCCCTTCTCTGCCACCCCCTTCACTCCCACCCAAATATCAATAGTAAGCCCCCGAAGCCCTATAGCACAATTATGTCTTGCAACACTACCTGAAGGTCAAGGACACGCGTGTAATGGTACAATTTGGGCATTTCTTCAATTCTGTAAAACACGAATAACTCTCTTCCCATGAAATCTGGAATTAACCTATGTTCTAATAATATTAAACTTGTAATTCATTCACAGCAATGGAAAAAAACAAAATTAATAAACTGCCTGACTTGATACGTTCTAGATGAACCAAGCCTTCATAATAACCCTCTGGTAAATCAGTTCTTGCCACTAGTTCTGTATAAACTGACTCCCATCACAGACAACAGCCCCCTTGGAGCAGCTGAATTGATGGCTTGACTGGTGGCCATATTGGCAGCCATGCTGTCTGGCAGACACTCGCTCCATTGTTCTCTGGGTCACATGGCTGTCCTTCAACAACTTCTATCACAAATCATGTCTGTAGAACAAATGCTTCCTTGTGGCACCAGGGCATCTAACCCATCTTGTGGCCAGGGCCCATGAGAGTCGCCATTCAAACTTATAGGAAGTTTCATTAACAGTTATTGAGATGAAAACAAACACTCTAGCGCAGATGGTGGACAGGTTTTAACTGTTATCCATTTCTTATAAAGTTAGACTTGTACATTGTTAAACAAATTGAAAATTTAATTAAATTCATATGTGGTTTGGGCATTTTGAGTGCCAAAGTTAAAAAAAGTTTATTTTTTGGTTTGTTTGTCGCCACACTCAGCAATATTCCAGCTATATGGCAGCAGTCTGTAAACAATCAAGTCTGGACTGAAAATCCAGTGATTGATGGCATGAGCATCGATCCATGCAATTGGGATACGATGACATGCATCAACCACGTCAGCAAGCCTGAGCACCCGATCAAATTAGTCACCTCTTACGACAAGCATAGTCGCCTTTTACGGCAAGCATGGGTTGCTGAAGATCTATTCTAGCCCGGATCTTCACAGGAAAGTTAAAAAAAAAAATTGCATAATACATATCACAACAGCAGTGGGGACCAGGGAAAATGTGACCCAGCCACTCCATTGCTTGTCATAACAGGCAACTAAAATGGGAACCAGTGGAGATTCCAGGTTAGAATTGGTCCCTAGCAACTTGTTGTAGATGTAACTTAATAAATCGGATGGTCAGACTCCATGGTATGTCAACATTCTCTGGTGGTGTGGATCATTGCTCATAATATCAATCACTGGATTGTCTTGTCCACACTTGATTATTTACAGGCCGTTGTCATATAACTGAGTGCAGCATTAAACAACAAACACATACAAAGTGATGGGAGTGAGTTGTGTTAACACTGCCTTGATCAGTATGTCCATAATATCATGTCCAGTCACTATAATGTCAGAGAAAGGGGCGGTGGGGTAGCCTAGTGGTTAAAGTGTTCGCTCGTTACGCCGAAGGCCCGAATTTGATTCTCCACATGGCTAAAATAATATTTCTAGTGTTGCCCTCCCACTCTCCTACCCAGAGTTCCATGCGGCCGGCAGCCAGCTAGCATAGTACCTCTGCCACAGGCCAGCGCCATGTGACGATTCGTCACATCTTTCACAGTCCATTCAAGATATTGCATATGCTTTTCATCCGTTTCATGTTTGACAAGTCTACACATTTTTTTATAAACAAATGTCAAAGAATGAATTGAAGAATTGAGAAAGTATGCAAATACGTAAAAATCTACTTGTTTTTGCGTAGTTATCCTATGTTTACATTGGTTGTACGGCTCCACGTGCTGTCATCGAAGCCCAACGGAGAGCTAGCGACACGGTCACTTTGATGTATAAATATATATTGTCATGCAACTCACTATCGCAGTTGTAGTAGCATAGCTATATAGTTATGCAAAACAATATGTAAAGCGCCCCCAAATACTTGCATTAGTCCGTTCTATACTGATTTCTGAAAAAGCGCGTTTGTTTACAAACAAGAGAAAAGTCCAGTCACGTGATATGCAAATTAGCCTGTGGCAGTGGTGTTATGCTGAGTCACCACTGCGACGGAGTGTGTTCCCCTCCGTGATATTGCTGGAATTTTGCAACAAGTGGAGTAAAACCCTTCTCACATCACTAATGTCGAAGACAGGCCCAAAGAGATGAAGAACAAGTCAGTATAATGTCAAAAGTAGGCCCACAGTTAGCCTTGCTCCAGGGCTCTACCGAAAGAAAAGTCCATGGATGTGTAGTAACTCGATCTTCCTAATAGGCAAGTCTAGAGTGAGTGAGTGAGTTGGGTTTAACGCCGCTTTTAACAGTATTCCAGTTATATCACGGTGTGTCAGCTTAATGTGGGAGGAAAGCCCGAAGTGATGCAGGTCTCAGACGTTTACCACTTCGGTGAAACCCATGAGCACGGGTATGGTGCTGACAAACCTGGAAACATAATTTGGGCGAACTGGATTCGAACCCACAATCATAGGTTTCTGGCGTGCCCAAGGGACGCAACTCTGCACAGCGAATCGCGGCGCCTTAGACGACTGGGCCACCCGTGCCCCCGGCAAGTCTAGATATGTGGACAGTACTAAGGACTCCAGTCTCTTATAGGGACAACTTAATTACATAATCTAGAAATAATGATTTAAACTAATAATTATTGCCTTCAAGACTTGTGCAATTCTAGCTCACAGTGACCCCAGTGAGAGAACAATTGATAAAAGCCTTGATAACAGGTATGCACCATTACAATCAGGGTCAATCTGGGAACTGCGTCACCACCAACAAAACAAGAGTTATTGGAGTGGTTTAAAAGTCTTAATATTCAAATCACATTATAAACAATTTCCCACTCTTTCAGATCAGCATCCAACATGAAGTGCAGCTATCAACTGTTCCCTCCATTGCTGGACCTTTGGCACATCTCAAACACATACTTGATGATAAGTACCCATTGATGAGGGCCGCATGTGTGTGCTGGGAATGAGGGAGGTGCACACTGGTGATGGAGAGTGCTTAAAGAAAATGGGTAAGCCAAGGTCTTACATGAAGGCTTAATTTCAAGGAGAACACACTCATCATACCGACCACAGCTACAAAATAGGAACCATTTTAGCAACATTTGCAGTCAATCAACCAGCCAAGTCCTCATGCCATCACCAATATGAGGAGTCAAACCTGGATCTCTGCCTGACAAGCAAGCACACTGACCACTTGGCCACCCCAAGGTCAACCAGTCCAGCGCATGACCTTGGCCCAATATAAACAGTTCAATTTGCAATCAATGTAAAACATAAAGCAACAAAACAAATTTATCAGAACTAGCATCCTAGAATCTATTAAATGTTTGAAGTGTCTGTGTCTGGTACCTAGACTTGCTGCAAGGCTGTACTGAAAGAAAAGTCCATGGATGCGTTGTAATTCTATCCTCCTAATAGGCAAGTCTAGATATGTGGACTCCAGTCTCTTATAGGCATAACTTGTTCTTATTATTTACATAATATAGAAATTATTATTTAAAATAAAAAAAATTGTGCAAGTCTATCTGGTACCCTGCTTGGTTTTAAAGCATCCAGCAATTCCAGCCCGGAAATGGCCCCTGTAAACACAGCAGCCCCAATCACGTAGCTACCCACAAAACATCTCATGCAAAACCACTTAAGAATTAGAAACGGAACATGATATCACACGCTCAACCATATCAAGATGTATTTGAACCATAGCTATGTATGTCTTTCTTTTTTCCTTGAGGTTGTTGACATTTGAATATTATTCATGTAAACTCCAGATAACTGGTGTTTATGAACTTGAACATTTTCATGGTAATCTCGCCATGC